AAAGAAGCACATCAGGCGCTCGGGAACCCTACAAACGCGCGGGTGAGGTAACCAGATATCTACCCGAGGGACTGTAAATGCCAAGGCTATGGACTGTGGATTTCGCCAGCGGAAATCGCGTCGTGACGCGATTTGGCGCGGGCGCGCGCCAAAATCGACCCCCTCCTCAGCTAGGTTCGGGTCGGGAAATTCACAGTCCCAACCGCGGCATCACAGTCCACTCGGCACCCAGATCTGTGGCTTGCCCCGAGCTTTAGCTGACCTACTTGCTTGCTCCTGGTATTTATTCCTTACTTAGCTGCACTGTACCGTAGCTGCACATGTACTATAGTTCAAAGAAATTTTATTCCGAATTTTCTACCCTACCGTACCCTCATGGAGGAGGCTGCATCTGCCCGCCTCCCGAGCTTGACTTGCAGCGGTGGCGGGAGTTGCTTATGTAATCCGATTAAGACCGTAAACTTTCCTATGATCAGATTCACTTCCATGCCTCTGCATGTGACGGTTCTGCCGCGGAAGTAAAAATAGCTCATCGCACCAGTCCCTCGAGTCGTTGCCCTACCAATCGATCTTGAGATGTGGACTCGTCCTCAGCCATCGCACAAGGTTAATAAATGCTTTTGGCCGAAGAATGGAATAATACAGAAAGGCGCGGCGCACGTAAATGAACAGTGTATGCGGTGCTCCATGGCAATCTTGTTACAATTACTGCGTCTGTGCACCATACCCCCGGATCCCCTCCGCAAAGCCCCACGATGTTTCCAAAGCCTTGGAATCCGAGATCGACGCGCCGGAAGCGGTGATTGTGGCTATTTGATACTGGGAAGATAGTCAGCTTGCATTACTCGGATAATAGAAGAAACCAAGCATGCAGGAAGAGGAGGGAGTGGCGGAATCTGTCCGCACTTACCTTGTTCAAGCTCCGGGCATCCCTGTAGAAAAGTACCCGCATGCAATCCTCTATGATCTTCGTCGCTTCCTCCTGCGTTAATGTATCCTCCCTTCCTTCGACTGCACGTCGGAGTAGTGGCTGAGCAATGTATGCGCCGTATCCAGTAGCAAGAGTAGATGCAGAGTAGGTTGTACCGAGCAGGTCGACGTACGCCAGGAATCTGTGTGAGGACGTACGTCAGCATATGCTGATGAGAGTCTTGCAGCAGGAGTATGCGAAAAGAAAGCCCGAATAACTGACCTCTGACCATCTTTGACACCTCCAACGAGAATGCTGTTCCAAAGTGGATTGATCTTCGTTCTCCTGCCGTACATCACCTGGCTCAGGTATTCGTGGATCTCCTTCGGACCCAGACCATGCCCGTCCTGGTTCGTGAATTCCTCGACCACCAGGTCATCAAGCAGGCTTTGGATGTACTGGAAGTCGGACATATCTCCACCCGCTCCGATGACGGTGTATTCGCCGACGGGCTGTAGACGTTGGACGTCCTTGAAGCGTGCGAGAGAGCCGTACGAAGCTTTAATTTGGAAGCGATTCAATTTGAAAGTGATGCAGGTTTAAGGATGGGTTGAGGAGGTTAACAGAAATGGCACTCACCAAGATTGTCCGCTGCCATCATAATCCCATCCTTGAACTTGATAGCAAGCACACTCGTGCCCGTCACAATAGGCTGCCTGATAAGCAAACACAGTCTGTTCACTCTGTGCCTCTGTTAGTCTAGGAAAAGAACGTACTGTGTCCGCTGGACGCCTTGACTGAAGGCATCTTTGGGCCCGTTCGATGGCCGCTGATGGATGGGGAAAGTAGCATAAGCATCAAAAGCGTCATTTCTCTACACGCCCAGTCAGCTTGGAACCGAGGTATGCAGAAGGTTTAGTACCGGACGGCCCCAGTTGGTCGGAAAGTGGTCCATTATCAGTGGGGGTCAAAGAGGATGAAGGTTAAGTACTTTGAAGGGGTATGGCAAGACCGTGACGCGCAAGCGCGACGCGTCATAGCAATCAGGGTCACGCGTTTATTATATTATAAGACCCGGCCTGCAATCGATTATCCTACGTCAATGGAGATTCTTTGTGAATCATAACAGTTTGGCCACATAAGTAATCTGAACTCTAGAGTACAAGGCGGAGATACTGTAGAATGTAGTATTGGAACATCAGTTGGCATTCCAGAATGGAAACGAGACCCCCGGTTATTTCACCGTTTCTGCTTTTTCGTCATGCGTTTGTCGCTATTCGTGCCGTCTACTCTACCTGCAGCCTTACCCTGCTTCTTATTGAGCACTCTCTGCAGAGCACGCTTGGTCTCTCCATCCGGGAAGGTGCTAAGATCAAAGTATTGCGGAGCAAACTCCAACAGCCTGACCAGCCTCTCGGTAACAGGATTTTCATTATAGAGGGGGTAGACGTACCATTCTGGCCGGACCTCTGTGACAGTCCGAATATACGGACGGGTCGTGAGTACAAACTCGTGGAAGATGACCCATTCCGGCTGATTGTCGAGACCACACGAGGGATGCAAAGCCACAACCTGAACCTCTCCCGTCAGTCTGACGTCAGACATCATAGCAACACAAGACGAACCTGGTTGTCCTTGACCGTTAAATAATTGCCCTTCTCGCCCTCCTTATGTGCGACCTGCATGAAGAACCCACAGACGAGGGCCATTCGGATGGCTGTGTACAGTTTGTTTGAGTCCTGGATGGAGACCAGGTCGATGTCGAACTTCTCCATGTTACGCTGCAGCTGCGCGCGAACATTATCCGCCTGTTGAAGCGCACGAGCAGAGAGGTAACTCTGCCAACACCAGTTTTTGTCCTGACCATCTTGAAATACTACGTCAGCAGAAGAAATCAGGAGCTGAGGGCCACGTACTAGCTACATATTGGTTGTAAACGTTGAGCAATGTCAGATGGTCGCCATCAGGGACGGTTAGCATCTGTTTCGCAGCGTCTGCTTCTTTCCTTTGACTGGGAGGCCTCACCCAGACGTTGGGAACTGAAAGTGCCTCATCAGTACTACTACACCGACGGATCTGCACGAATGACTCACCTGAAAGCATTGCAACAATTGTCAAAATCTCGTTACTACACTTGAACTCCGGGCTGACAATGAGCATCTTGGCAAGCTGAGGATCAAGCGGGAACTCCGCCATAATCCCACCAAGAGCAGTGAGGTTGCCATCATCATCCAGAGCAGCCAAGAAGTTCAGCAGCTCCAACGCGCGCATCAATGTCTCCGGCGCGGGCGCATCGACGTAGTCGAACCTGACCAAATCCTTGATCCCAAGCTTCACCAACTCCAACACAGTGTTCGCCAGATTACTCCGCAAGATCTCCGGGTGCGTTTGCTCCTCGAGTTCCTTCATGAAATCGCGCTCTGTATACAACCTGAAGCACTTGCCCGGTCTCGTCCGCCCGGCGCGACCCGCCCGCTGCTGAGCGCTCGCCTTCGAGATCGGGCTCACGAGCAGACTCTCTACACGTATCCGCGGGTTGTACACCTTCTGCTTAGAGAACCCAGGGTCGACGACGTAAACGATGCCGTCTATCGTCAGACTCGTCTCCGCAATGTTGGTAGAGATGACAACCTTGCGCCCCGGCGGGCCATCAGGAGTGCGCGGGGGCGGGGGAGGGTCAAAGATGCGCTGCTGTTGCTGCGGCGGGAGCGAAGAGTAGAGGGGGATGCAGACCAGCGGCCCGACGCTGTCTGGGTCCTGGTTCATCAGGTCGTCAGCCTCGATTTTGATCTTTCTGCATGCATCTTCAATCTCTTCTTCACCGGTCAGGAAGAGGAGGATGTCTCCCGGTTCCTCGGCGCGGTGGATCATGAGCACGGTGCGGATGGCGGCCTCGACGTAATCCGGTTCGGGCTCTTGGGTGTAGAAGACTTCGACGGGGTGTGTGCGACCGGGAACTTTGAACAGCGGGGCAACTTCACCGTGTTTGAGCGAGAAGTACTTTTGGAACTTCAACGCGTCGAGGGTAGCAGACATGACGATGAGTTTCAGATCTGTGCGGCGTTTCGCGAGAGTCTTCAGAAGACCCATGAGAATATCTGTCGCGAGTGTGCGTTCATGGGCCTCGTCGAGGATAATAGTGGAGTATCGGGTTAACTCCGGGTCGTTCATTGCTTCTCGCAGCAGCATACCATCGGTCATGTACTTGAGGAATGTGGTGCCGGGTTCTGTCATGTCCTCGAAACGAATGGAGTAACCAACCTGCTTGCCAAGTTGGACTGCATAACGCATGAGGCGATGTGTCAACAAGCAATGAGGGTTTTATACGCACCGTCCATTTCATCCGCGACACGCTTTGCTACCGACATAGCAGCGACCCTCCGAGGCTGCGTACATGCGACCATCTTTCCTTTCGTATGTGGTAGGTCGGAGTAGCAGACGAACTGCGGTATTCTGCGGAACTTAGGTTAGACGGGAGATCGCGAACAAAGTCGACTCTGGAGTACGCACTGTGTGGTCTTCCCTGAACCTGTCTCTCCCACCATGACAATGATCTGGTTTTCAGAAAACTTATTCCCCGAGCATCAGTGGTATGTTCCGGGTCTGGAGGAGATTGTCTAACCTCCCCTCACGAGTGATGGTGGGAGACAAACTCACTATCTTAAAGAACTCGTCCATCTGAGAATACACCGGCAGCTTCTTCCGCGCCTCCAAAATCTTCTTGTACTGGGGTGTATGGGGTTGCATTGTGAAGGGGTTGACATCGGATTCCTTGAGGTAGCATACCAACTCTAGTTAGCTCGACGCAATGGACGAGGTACGACAGGTAACGCACCAGGGCTTTTCGGGCTTGCTCCCCTGTAACCCTCCGGGGCAGAAAGCCGTACAGTGGATTGTTCCCTGGTGTCGGTGAAGCGCTGGACTTCCCTCCCTTCTTCGGGTTCAAGTGCGCGAGGTATGGATTGTCGGTGGCCATGTCTAATACAGCGGATAAACCAGGAGACAAAGGCTACAGCAAAAGCGAATATGCTGAACGGAACAGCGTCACAGACAGTGGGTAGAGAGCCCGCAGAGACGGGACTTGCGCGAAAGTGGCGGAGTCCACGTTCAGCAGTGCAGCACAGCTGCTGAACTTTTTCTCGATGAGAACCGGCATTGTGGCTGTGGCACACCAGACTTGGTCCCAGAGTGAAGTCGGAGATCGAAACTTGAAAGCGGTCCATGTGGACCAAGTTCCAGTGCCCGGGCCGCCAGTCCCGAGCCACTGCCACTGCCTATGCCGAATATTTACTTGTAGCTCCCCCTTCCTAGTGTCTCGTTGAGGCATGCCTAATTGCCATTGGCGGGGTTCATGTTCGACAGGAAGTGATGTAGAAGGTCTCCCCTCTATGACACGTTCATGTCGAGTCCGAGTCTCCATATTGACACACTTTAGTATCGTCCGAGTCCACCTAAGGAGGTAGGTACTGTACTTGATTTAACGAAGTCGCATCCCATAACGCAGAATGTTCTTGAATTGTACATCATTATTATCTGCCTTAACCTGCAGTTAGCATACACGGACCACAAATGCCAGCTACTTACAGGCGATATCCACACACATATGTTTCCTAGGCATACCCCTCCCGAAGATCATAATCATTATGAATCCTCGCAAATACATGGGCTCGTGGTATAGTCACCTGTGACCTAGCAGAAGTAGAGTCCGCCAGGCATAACCACCTCTGTGCCAGCCACACCGATGTCAGCCACTGAGCTATCACACTCGAGTCCATTCGGTTGAATATGAAATCCCCTGGACGTCGCACCTTTAACTCCCTGGAATGGATCCCTTAGTTGTTGGTATGTACATGAAGCATGCCATGGAGACAAAGGGGTCCGGTACCCATACATCCTAGACTGGACAGAAAATGATCCCAGAGATCCTCAGTAGATCAATTTATTCCCTCAATGCGTACCTCAGCTACTCATGATTTCTCCTTTTCACCAGAAACCTCCCGGAGAAGAAGAAATGGCTTATAGTCAGCATTAGTGATACCGCCGTTGATATGCACAGACACACAACAATCACCAAGGACCAAAAGCAATAAACCTAAACCCCGTGATATGGGTGAAGGCGGTCCGAGACAACTGAAGGGTATTTAATAGTTCGAGGGGGAAAGGAGGAGTAAGACGCCGTAGGGTAGTCCATAGGAAGACCTAGAAAAATAAAACAAAAACCTTGATGCCTGAAACAAACACTAATGGACGCTCCGGAGTATTTATCTCCGGAAAGTTGCAAACAAAGTCGCAAACCACGGAACCGAGTGTAGGTTCGGGCCCACGGGAGTAGAAAATGCTAAAAGGACTTGTTTAATTTTATTCCGCTATGTGAGACTCACCGGAGCTAATTAAATCGATGGCGGAGATAATTTACTCGACGAGTCAGGCCTATTGGCAAAGCTAGGATCGGTTATAATTCGCTAAGTTCGACGCTTTCGAACTTCTCGGGTTGCTGAGATCGTAACGCTAATTCTCTGAGATGGTGAAGTCGAAACTTGTTTTTCTGTACACTACTTTGTACAATTTATACTACAGGAATGGCTTTGCGACCGTCCAGAGATAAATAACAAATAACCGCCGCTACCCACAGGATTGCTCAGCACTTGCTGCCGCTATACCATGCACCATACGACTCTCTTGCACTCCCACTTGCTCGTCCCAGCCCCTAGAGGTCGCCTCGACACTCCGCCACCTGCCCTAAGCGGTCCCATCACTCCATGCGACACACCGGTCACGTGCTAATTACCTCCGGCCGCTCGCTGACTGATGCTGACGTCATGGTGACTCGTATACGTCCGCACCTTTGGTATTTTGATGGAAACGAGGGGGAGTGAGTGTTGGAGGTTGGGCATGAGGACGACACCCCTCGATAGAAGCATCCGCGGGCCCCGGAGCTAATTCATCTAGACGTCGCATTGGTTAAGTCGCTCCGGAGCTCCTGTTTGTGGAGATAAATCGCGGAATGGGTCCGTGTACGCCTCGAGGATGCTACAAAGTCCGGAGCTAAAATAGAGCAAGTCTTTAGAGCCCATAGAAGCCTAGAGGCATGTGAGCGCTGTGTCAAATAAGCTCCGGAGGGCTTGTATGATGCACTGAGTCCGTGTTTTCGGGGGTCAGACAATCCTGAGGCTTATCACCATCCAGTTATTTGCCCAAATTTCCGGACCTGGGACCGGACCCAAGGTCCAGTTCGGGTGAATGTCCGGACTGTGAACC